ATGTTAATAAAGCACAAAGTTCAGCCAATCCTCCAAAGAGCAACTTTTTACTTTCTTACTTTTAGTACATTTGAGAGCCTGTACGTTTTTGCTTTTACTTGAGTAAAGACGTTGAATCAGTACTTCAGCTTTTACTGAAGAACGTTTTACTAATAGCATTTGTACTTCTACTTAAGTACAGGATGTCTGCACTTTTGCCAACTCTGGTTATTTCTCTTCATTGGCTCCCTGTTAAATCCAGAATCAAATTTAAAGTCTTTCTCACATATAAGCTTGAATAATCAGCTCATCTTATGTCACAGACCTCAGAGGACCTTATCACTCCAGCAGAACACTTTGGTCTCAGACTGCAGGGTTAGTTGTGGTCCCTAGGGTTTTTAACTTTTTTTTAGCTTTTTTTTTCCAGCTTTCAGGCCCCTCTTCTGTGGAAGCAGCTCCCAGTTTGGATTCAGGAGACACACACTATCTCTATCTTTAAGATTAAGCTTAAAAGTTTCCTTTTTGACAACACATATAGTTAGGGCTGCATCAGGTGACCCTGAATCCTTCCTTAGTTGTGCTGCAATAGGTGTAGGCTGCTGGGGGATTCCCATGATGCACTGTGTGTTTATACACCACTCTGCATTTAATTATTTGTTAATACTTATCTCTGATTTTCTCTTTTCAAACTACTTTCTCAAAACCTCTGACTCGTCAGACAAAACCTCATGATTGCATGGGAACAGTTTTATCAGCAATAAAAACCACACAGTGTCTTCAGATCACATACACAACCAGTCAAGATAATAACTCTACTGAGCATCCGTTTCACACCGCAGCAAGTGATGTACCAAAACACGAGTATAGTGTAAAGATTCAAGATTATGGTAGCATTGCTCTTCCCTCATTTACAGGTGATACGTGCTGTATATAGCTCCAGTCTTAGACTAATGAATGTGGACAGTTTCACATTCTCTCATCCTGCTTGGTTTTGAGACGCATAAGTCAAGGAAACATTATAGTAAACAATGAATTATGTGGATTACTTTTATAAGTAAAATTATGGTGTTCTACTTTCTTTCATTTGGGTTGTTACAGTTTTATCACAGAGAATCACATCTCATCATGATTATTAGAAGTGATTTATTGTGGTAGATCTCACTCCTCCTCATCTGCCTCCTCTCTGATTGTTTCCTCCTATTCTTGGTATCAAACCTTCAGCTCACTGGAACTCGCCGGTCGCTTTATTAGCAATCAGTGTGAACGATTTTGAGTTGTCGCGTTCACGGAATGACAACAGAGCTGTAGTCGTGTTGTGTTTCCTGTTGTTACCATTGAGTGAGAATTTGTTTCGAGCTTTTTGAAAAGAATTTAAATAAGAATTGAAAATTGTGTCTAACTAGATGACAACAATTTAAGGTTTTGCCAAAAGAGTGATTGATTCAGGGAGTTAGTTTTGGAGAACCAGAGTTTGTGTTTTAGCAATACAAAAAAAAATAAATAAAAAAATGCTGAACACACAGGACGAGAAAATGTGTGAAGCTGCCCTTTTTCATAAGCAAACTGCAGTATGAGACATAGACTTTGTGTGTATGTAAATATATCTCTGAAGGTAGTGTATATTGATGTTTCTATACATTGATTTCTGATTTTCCTGCATCTTTTTGGAGATGACGACACGCCACGTGAAGCTGGAAAGGCTTGATTTACATGTCCCGACTCTGTTTTTGTAACCAGTGCTGAGCTCTGGTATTATCCTGACGTTTTATGAGTGCAATCTGATAACATGCGGTTCTCAGCACTGATAAAATTGTTTTGATGTGATTGTGCGGTGTAGCCATGAGACTCAGAGGTGAATGTAGTTCGTGTTCAAAGTGTAAAAGAATTAATGTTTAGTTTAGTCTTGCACTCAAAGAAATAATTCATTTTATCTAGCCACGTATATTCCATCTAAACAAATCATGTTATGTTAATCTATCTTGATTGTGTTGTTTCAACACAATATATGTTTGTAGGTTTAACATAATATTAAAACATATTAATATTAATAACATAATATCTCACAAGGAGGCTCACGCCTCTTGGCTTGATGCCCTTCTACAGCCGTGTCTGGCTCTCCTTCTTTGACAGTGGTGGGAGACATAGTAAACATTCCAGTGGACTACCTCTGTGACCTGAATGAGCTCTTTTCTGGGGAATTAAAAGAAAAGGTTGCAAGAGTCATCAAGATGCACAGCACCATGTAAGTTTTTACGTCATTCTTTAGAATTTCGTGAGTCAACTCAAAAAAATGAAATTGGGTGGTTGCTACATGCACAAGATCCAAACTTGTAATTTGAGCTAAATAATTCCATGTTTCTATCATGTAGCATCTGTCAGCCTGTATCATGTCATCTTGTTGAGATCTAGTAAGAGCGGTTAGTTGCCTGGATCCAGCCACTCTTACTAGATTGTATCATGTCATCTCAACAAGAACAAATTAAGTTGCTGAATTTCATGCAGATGCTACATGATTTAATTCCGTTCACCATAGAAACATTGAATTATTTAGCTCAAATTACAAGTTTGGATCTTGTGCATGTAGCAACCACCCAATTTCATTTTTTTGAGTGATTTGGTCACATTATAAGAAGTGGGTAGCTTCTGAGAAAATAAATAGGCCTTAGCAAGTGTGAAAACTGTAAAGAACTTGAGGAAATAATGTAATAATAATGTTTTTTTCTTTTGTTTGTTTTTATCTATTATCACACACACACACACACACACACACACACACACACACACACAAAACTAAATAAAAGACTAAATAAAGGTGACAGAATGATCATGAAGAAAAGGTTGCAGATGCATGCACGGAAGTGATTTAGATGCACACTTGCTCCTTTACACCACTGAACACAGATAAGATCTTGTGTGCATGAAGTTACGATTACTTCACTTCACCACACATACATTTTTATTAAAATGGGGGAATGACTCATGACAAACATGTTTTAGTGGTTTTGTTTGTGCATTTATAATGCAATAGTCATTATGCAGTCTAAAGCACCTCTTTGTCTTATCTTTAGCTTTGAATACTGGTTTTTACAATAATATAAAGAATAAACAACACATACAGTCAAAACTATTCCTTTAGCGAACAGTCAAACTGACTAGAATGTGAGCATCCAAATGTGAGGAACACTACTGAAAACTACACGTGAGGCTGAAATGAAAAGAAAATATTCAGTTGTGGAAATCAGCAAAAATGTATGAACGACTATATAGAGTTCTATAAACAGTGTAAACTGTATGTAGAAAGATAGACGTGCTTTTTTGTAAGATGCTGTGTTCCTGTAGACTGTGTTCTTCATCATTGTTAGTAATCAGTCCACGACTGTTGTGTCATCTCCATCTAATGGAGTTTTTCACATGGACGGTTTCGTGGTTGAAGACAGCATACAGGAGAGGGAACAGCATACATCCATGGGGAATGCCAAGGTTCAGGGTGACAGGGTGCAAACATGACACTCAGGGGACATTTCATGTGGACCAGAGTCATCCTTTCACTATGGCCAAAGTGAGTGAAACTGGCCTGTGGTCATTTAGACTACTGGTACTCACATGTTTCTGCTCAGGTATGGGCTCAGTGGTTTTGGATTTGAGGCAGGAAGGCATGATTGCTTCGGTCAGGCTGAGGTTGAAGATTTCCCTGAATACCTCAGCTAGCTGGTCTGCACATGCCTCAAGTACACGTTCTGGGACACCGTCAGGCCCTGATGCTTTCCAGTTTCTGACTCCCCGCAGTGCACTCCTT